GAGTGGCTGAGTCAAAGTCAGTCAGAGTAGCTCCATTCAGACATGCAGTCAGCATTTTAAATTTGCATAAAAGTAGGGAAGAGAAGGGTGGACCATCACTGCATTACTGTCACTGCTGTAATGAGAGGAACAGGCTTTGTAAGTGGGCCTGAAACTATGGGAACGTGAAGAGGGAGGGAAGTGCACCCAGAGGGGACAGCCTTGAAAACACATACTAGACAGACAATAATTATGAATCATTGTAACACAAAGCTCTCATTTATTACTTCAAGTACAAGCCAACAAATGTCCTGAACCCTCCCAAAAGTTATTATATGCTGCAGCTTCAGGAAGGGACTGTGGCACTGTTTCAGTACAGACATACAATTGCTTGCTCACACTGTGCAACAGATTTCCTCTTGGCAGTAGGAAAGGAGCTCTGCTTCTGTCAGCAGAGATGTGCTTTATTTCCTAGTCTGACGAAGCAGCACCTTAAGAAACAAGTGTTGGTTGATGTGACAGGGTTGTGAGGTGTCATGAAGGACCTCTCCCCATGTAAATTCAGTGGAATTCCTCTGACTCTTGACAGTGAGAGTAAAAGGGCCAGAACCTCTAATGCAGTGGAAGATCAGAGGGAGACTGGAAAAACCCACTGGAGACCAAGTGCCTCATCTGGATTTTGGTTATATGTGTGCAAATCAGTTGTGGCTCCAGAAAAGTCAATAGCTGCAGATTAGCGCATAAATGAAAATACTATCACGTCCAAACCAGCCAGATTCCTGCTTTTGTTTTAGATAAAATGATACATATTATTTCTGTAGGGCTGAACACTGCACAGGGAGGCACATGGACATATTTTAGGCTCACTGTACCTGAGGAGGCAGTATCCTTCAGCCATACTTCTAAAATGTACAAGCTATATTCTGCCACATTTGCTTCTCATGATTTGTATGAATAATCAAGAAATTTGATCTTCTGGTTATGTGATATCAGCACTGTTCTTTTTAAGGGACATAACATAGAGGGCATTCAGATATTGCAATAATCAGTCATTTAAAATGCAGGAGAGAGGGAAAGATGTTCTAGAACTGTTAATACCTCAGTTTATATTCAATTTGCTGAAGATACTCTCGATAATATACTTTGGTGCCTGCATATAGTTAGAACTATTAAAGCCTGATCCATAGTGTTTGACCATAACAGAAGGAGAGACTTTCACAGACATAAATACTCATAAATACTAATTGACTATGTTTTAATCTTTCCACAGAGATAAGGATTGCCTAAAAATATGGGAATCATTAAAACATGCATTCATTTACAAGAATCCCTGTAATATTACATCAGAAGATTATCAGCCTTTAATGGAGTTAGCAAGTCATCCTATCCCCTGTAACCAGGTAACAGTACAAGGCACGGTGGGCTGCCTGAGGAGGATTGTTGTGGGAGGACATGTCTGTGCAGTGCTCTGAGTGATGGATCTTGTCTGTAATAACTGTCAGTGTCTGCAGGCCGACAAGGATGATATTTTGCCCTTGTGCTTACTGCAGTAGCATCACCACCTCTGGACCCCAGTAACCCTGCTCATTCTCGGTCACTGGAAAACATCCCTGTGTACGGTTTGCCTCTAATGTCAGTACTGAGGTCATCCCTGTGAAGTGACGGAGATGTCCCTGTTCCCTGAGCATATGGCTCTCTCATAAGGAGCATGCTATCATGATGTTAGAGGGACACTGCTTCCAAAAAGCTGCTCTTCCATGCACAGTTCAAAAGCACACCAAAAATTAGGTATATATCTTCTGACAACTAGTCAAAACCTTTCTTTCAACATGCTTTGCAGCTCAAACATGTCAATTTCCATCAAAAATAACCACCTAAAATTATTTTGGAAATGGCAGTGTGGGCTGCAGAAATAAGAACTGACCCACTAATGTGAACTTGTGGCATTTCAATAAAAAAATGAAACTCCTTCATTATAACGAAAACTTTTTCTTTTTCTCCAGGAAAATGTCCTGACCAGCTCAAGTATAAGTATCACTTATTAGACATTGTATCTTATTTCACAGTCACTGTTTTGGAGTAAGACAAATGACCTCGTTCATCGTTACACAAAATCCAATCAAAATTTCCTTACCTTGGAGGACACCTTGTTGGGTTATATGGCTGACAGGGTTTCATGGTGTGGAGACCCCTCTGCCCCAGGTAATAAGTTCTATTTTTTTGCAAAAAACCAAGTATGAACACTGGAATTTCAGATTATTCTTTCATTTTTATATACTTAGACCTAAACACAGTCCTTTTCACATACTCTTTTCTTGTAATTTAGTTTAAAATCTTAACCATATTTCTGTCCTATGTTATGGAAGACTGAAAATAATACGTAGTTCTCAGGTGAATTTAGAAACTACAGCTTTGGCTATTACCATAATACCAGGTTGCTGTTTGGACTAATGGTCACATCTAGCCCTCTTTATCAAGAATACTCACTTTCTTCCTGAGGCTTCTGTGGGACAAACTGCAAAATGAGAATGCCATTCAAGAAGGTCCTGGCATCAGGCCAGTCAAAGTGGCAGAGGAAGCATGAAGGTACCCTGGGGTAATTGCTGCACATGTGACTCCTGGGTTGGTGCTTAATTCTGGCAGCCTCTAAGCGGGGCTGGAATTACTGAAAATGTTGGGCAAAGTTGAATTTTTCAACATGATTGGACAGCATTTGTCAAGAGTCAACCTGTTTCTCGCATTTAGAACTACATGTTTTCCTTTCTCGGTTTTCTGAAAATTATTTGCATACAGGGCCTGCAGATGCCTCCCTGAAACGTGTGTGAGCAAACAGGAAGACCTCTGAACACTTGCAAATTAATTTTACTCTTAGAGCTTTTTCCTCATGTAGCCTTCTTTCTTTGGTAGGGGCCAAATTTTTTGGCATCATTAATCAGCTCTCAAAGCCATTTTAACGTTGCAATAATATTCACTCCAACCTTAGCTATTCTATAAATGTATTTCTTATCAGGAATCAACTATGAATCCTGTCCAAAACGAAGTGAATGTGAGAGCAACCCTGGTTCTGTATTCTGGAAAATGGCATCCAAGATGGTAAGATCTAGAATAAATCTCCCCAAATCTGAGAATGTTGAAAGACACTAAGTTCCTGACACTGCCAAAAATGTGAGTTTGAAGATTGGGCTTCAAACACAGCGTAGTAAAACTTCACATGAGCTTCAGCTTCAGGTGCTAAAAACCATGGCTTTGGAAATTTTCATTTTCAAGGTCCCATATTTTATGTATAATATTTAATGCCACTGTAGTTTAGGCTTTCCTATTTGTGGACGGAGACTGTGTGCCAGTGTCTAGAACAACACTTGGCAGGCAGCTGGAGGTTTGCAAATAATACTTACAATAACAATAATCACCACCTTAATTAAATCACAGGACTGAAATTGTTAAAATAAAATACATTTTAGCATGCTGAGGTTGAGAGCAGTGCCCAAATTGGCACAGAGGTTTGCCAAATAAATGAGAATCCCCTTGCACCTTCCTCGCATAAACCTGAAGAGCACATCCTCCCACAATGGTATCTGGCAAGGTTCCTACGATGTACCTACCCAAATGCACAAGCCAACTCCTATCACATGAATGACACCCTGCTAGTCTGAGTTAAGCCTGGCTTTGTTGAATCAGCACTTTAAAATCAAACAAACAAACAAACAAAAACCTGCCAGAAAACCACTGCTGTCCTGTATCAGTTTTATTTTACATGTCTCTCAAGACTTCACTCTTGATACAACTACTAGTAGATGACTGTCCAGGTGGAAAAAAAGCATTTCTGTATGTTTCAGCTCTTGTGTATGTAAGAAAAAGTCTACTCACTGTAAAAAAAAGTTTTGTGGGCAAACTACTGTACATAAAGTTTCCCAAGCTCAAAATGTTTTTGATGTACTCATTAATCCCTCAGTTCCAGAGTCTGGGAGGGATAAACCACCACACAGAGTCAGGCTTGCTCGACTGCAAGCTTTCTAATCCAAATAAATTTAAGATCTACTAAAATTCATGCTTATTACATTAGAAAGTTACATGCAGTCAAACTTCCCTGAATCTTCACAGCTCTCAAGAGCTGAGTTTTACCCATGTTGTTTAGATATAAGAGGACTTGGAGGATTTGACAAGCACACTCATCTGTGCTAGGCTTTTCAAAAAGTCTTTGTGCCACTAATTGATTATAAATCTAGAGTGGATACTTTATGTTGTAACCTTACTTAGTTGTCTTTAAATATCTGGACCTGAGTTTTAAAGAATAAAAGAACAATGATTACAAATCAAACAAAACTTGGTGATGAGTTTTACTAAAACCACTGGGGAGAAAAATCCCAAGCCACAAAAAGCCACAGAGCATGAGTCATGAAGTAACAAGTATATGATAGTTCATGTGTCCTTAAACTTGTGGTACCTCTCTTCTGGCTCATCCCTACCACCTAGGTTAAAGCAGTCTGAGGATTATTCCAAGTTACTGAGGGTGGGAACAGCCCCATCAGACAGGTGTAGCGGCTGCGGCTTTGGAACCTTGCATCCCCCTATAGAAACTGAAAACAGTGGTGACAGCAAAGTAGCTGCACCAGTTCCGTGCAAACTCAGACTGCCAATGCATAGCTGGCTAATGCAGCTTTATGACAGTTCTGACATAGCCTTTACAGGCTTTTATTTGTGCTGACATGTTCTGTTAAAATATTGGCCAGATGCTCTACTTGTATAAGTCAGTTCTGATGACATCAAAGAACTTACAGTAATTTCTACTAGCCCTGAGTCTGACATGGCACTGCATGTAGTGTTAGAGCATAATGTCCATTTGTTTTGTTCAGTTTGCAGAAGCAGCATGTGGTGTGGTTCAAGTGATGCTCAATGGATCAGTAGAAGCTGGAGCATTCAGAAACAGCAGGTATTTACTCAGCATGCTACCATCCATGTTTCTGTGCTCGTGACTGTGTCTTTGCCAGTGAGTCCCAATGCAGAAGGGATTTTAATAAAATTCATATAGAGGTCTAAATCATTGGCTATTGAAGAGATTATTAACTTCTTCTGTAGTGTGACTGTAATTTAAATCCTTCTGAGGGTATGTGGGTAAGATCTCCAGTATGCTATTACTGCACAAAGTAATTTTATTTTTACAGTTAATCTAGCTTTGTGCACTATGTTGTATTAATGTGAATGGCACATTTTTAACTGCTCATGGAGCTGACTGGAATTCCCTCCTCCAGACTGTGCTTTCTTGGGCTGCCTGGCTGGAAGTGCAGTCTTGCATAATATTAAAAGAAGAAGAATATGTTGGTCAGGAGAACAGCCATGTTCATTTCCCTTGCACCAAACCAAACCAACTGCCAATAAACCAAACAGGACAAACGTCACTAAAGATGGAAAACTTTAGCTTGTTTCAGTCTGCAGATTTTCAAAAGTTATTTTGAAAGTGAAGTAAGAATGGGGAGAAAATCTTTTACCACAAAGTAATTAAATAGTTTGTGGAAATCTATTGGCAAAAAACATTCTTTCATTGAGAATAATAGCAGCACTAATAAGTACTAGCATTTGGGGAACATACTTTGTACATCTTACTTAGATAACTGAGAATGTTTTGCTTTTTCATGTCCCATTCTTACAGCATTTTTGGAAGTATTGAGATCTTTAACCTAAATCCAGATAAAGTCTCTGCAGTACACATTTGGCTTATGCATGACATCGATGGACCTCAAAGGTAAGTCAAGCTGATACGAAATGATGAACAGTGTGTAGAAGCCAGACGGTGCAGCTCGGTTCTGACAAGTGACTGTCTAACAGTGACACTTGAACCTGCTCATGAAGCCTGCCCTACATTCACTCTCCTCACTGCTTACTTTACTGGAAAGAATCAATTTTTTACTGTTGTTTTCTTTGGCATTTTTTTATAGGTACTGCTGAACAGTTATAGCTAAGACACTATGATATTTTCCTTACTTTCAAGCAGTCCCATGGCCTTTAAATTCCTCCCAACCCCACTGAGCTCTGCGGACCCTTATTACGGCTGCAGCACTGAAGTAACAGACCAGGCTATGTTTTCCAGGGTGAACAGCTGGAAAATATGTTTTTCCACAGGAATAGTATAGTTATGTTGACCCACTGCATAGAGGTTTGCTGAAGAAAATGACATTGGGTAATCTGTACATTAGTACCCCCAGACATGGCAATTGATTCTTTCTCTCAATATTTCCCAACATCAGATAAGCCATCGTTTTCCCCCTTCTCAACAGCTTCAACAACCTGGTGCGTCGCCAGCATTCTTGACACATCTTCCTCCTGTGCCAAGTTCACAGCAGTTTCCTTTTTATTTTCTATTTACTTCCAAGGAGAAAGAGGGAGGGTAGCTCCAATAATACGTATTTCTTTTATCTTATGATTTATATCCCATGTTGAGTCACTGGTAACACCTGGTGAGTCTTATGAACAAAGAAGAGCTGGCTCTGCTTTCCACTAATGCCATATGTTAGGAAATGGGTTTGCCCCATTCCTGTCTTGTTGCCCTGATGTGTGTCCTATACTCTGGACCAGGAGATTATTTTTATCCCAAGGTAATAAGTTTTTTGCAGCATCTCTGACATTTGTCAGTCCTCTCACTACAGCTTTGAGGCCCTGTGGGCTATTTCAAGCAAATTAAGCATAAAGATCTCAAAGACATGACATTGCCACATGCTTCATGAAACAATTAACTGGATGGACGAGAAATGCACAGGTTAGGGATTCTACCAATGGAAAAGTAGTTGAAAGGGCCCCTTGCTAAAACAGAGTAGCAGCAGTTGCAAGCTGAGCCAAACAGATAGGAGGTGCTCATATCCTGCTTTCTCCCATGTTTTCCATCTCCTTCTCCCTATCTAATGTCCTGCCTGGGACTTAGCTGCTGGTTTTCATGATCGGCCATTTCTCATCACACAGACTTGATCACTTTGTCCTTCCACAGATTTGAATGAGCCTTATATTGTGCCTTAGTGGATGGAGGCCACCAGCAGCCCTGGAGCAGTTCTAGAGCACATTGAACTGTGAATGGAACAGAGTTATTTCCTACAGATATTTTCCTGCACAAAGTTGTTGCGAAAGATGCACAGTTGAACATCACATAGTTTCTACCAGCAAAGGCTTGGTGCTAGCCAAAACTCCACAAACCCAATGGACTTTACAGAACCTTAGCAAATGAGCTTTAAAAGAATCTTACCTCAAATAAAGCAAAGCGACATAGTGTGGAATTTAGCTGAACTTCTTGTACATACAAGGAACACAAGTAACAAAAGGCTTTTCTTTCCAGTGAATCCTGCTCAGGTCATTCCATAAAGAGGTTAAAAAGCATCTTAGAAGAGAGAAACTTTAAGATCACCTGTGAAGACAATTACAGGTAATTACCAGCTCTTACTAGTGTCAACTTGCTAACATAAAACTAATCTTGCATCTCACTCTTGATTTAATATAGATTTCCTAGTTTACAGCAGAGTAGAGCAGACTCCCCTCTTACTGCCACCACATCTGTTTGATGTGTGCTTCTCACGGGTTTGCATTTGCATTGCAAACTTCATGTTGGCTAGGTCTGGGGCTTGCCCTCTGCCCTGCACTCCAAGAGGTCACCACCACTGCACTTGTTCAGTTGCCTTCAGGAAAGGAGGAATCCAGCCTCTCTCAACAGATTTTCATCTGGCCAGGCTTTTACGTACAATAATGAGAACCCAACAGGCAGCTTTCCCCCTTGCACACAGATAACACAGTATGTCAAGCATGATCCTTACTTCCTTCGCTATAGCTGGAGCTTTCTTTCCATCCAGCTGCTATGTCAGAGAGTGAGGCATGTGACATGATAAGTATTATTAATCACTATAATTCCCCATTGTTAGGAGATAAAAACAGGAGTGTGGGAAATAGAGTAGCCCAAGTTCTGACTTGCTTGAAATCTCTGCCTGCCTGCTGAGAAGATACAAAAGCCTGAGACCCTTTATCTCTCTGCATGAGTTCAGAGACCTTCACACAGAGCAGAAGTGTTCTTTAGTGACACCAGGAAAGGAGCAAAGGTTCTTCCTTGCTCTATCTATCTATCTATCTATCTATCTATCTTATCTGTCAGGAACAGCTTTCAGAGTGAAGAACTCATACTTGGATAAGAACATTTCCAAAGTAAACAAACATTTCTATAAACTACTGAGTTCATGACATTAGTTTTGAATAAGGAAAAGTTGGTTTGCAAAGGAGGCAAATGCCTTATTTGGTGCTAGGATTTTAATCTTGAAGGCAGAGCAATATATTCCTGCTTAGGTATTGCTGAAACTGATTAATGGGTGCTCTGCACATAGTGAAAAAATGAACACGAGTGTGGTTCATAAATCTGCCACATCATGATGCTCATATATTCACTTTCTCTTTGGGCAACTGCAGCCTTTAACCACTTCTCGCAAGACCTGTAAGCAGGTACAAATTATTTCAGCCTGTGCTGAAATAATCTAAGGAGCCAGGAACAGAAGGGAAAAATGTATTAGCTTAGAAACTTCATGGCTCAGAAGTGCAGGGGGAAACCTGAAACACATAATGAAGAGTTGTTGACACACTCTGCTATGGCTCACAACTTGCTGCTTAAGATAGAATAACAAGTAGGGCTTTTTGTCAGAGCTCAACTAATATGTACATAAACAACTGTGTAGAGCAACATGGACAATTAATTTTGCTATTTTATATACAGAGCAATAGTAAAAGAAACAATTTACATGTGCAGTGAAACTCTTCAGGATAGACTGGACAGCTTAGCTGCACTCCACTGAGGTCACTGCAAACAGAACTGTGAGGATCTATGTCAGCTGAGCATCTGGCTTTTCAGGCCACATAGCATTTGATGCTGATAATTTTTCTCTTGATTTTGTGTGTGTCAGCAGTGTCTTCCAGAAATAATTTAAAAAAATAGATTCACTGGATGTACTTCTAGCAAAATATCTAATCTTACCTGACATTGCTAGCGACAGCTTTACAGTAGCAGTAAGGGTTCCACTGGGTAAACAAGATGGTGAACTGTCAGCGTGGCAGCAACTCCATAGTCCATGCAAGAGGTCTTACTTCTTTTTCATAATTATTTTTCTTATCACAGCACAGCTGACATGCTGTGAATTCCCACCCTACTTTATTTCATACTCACTTGCTCTTGTCCCTAACCCCTATAAATATCAAAGTTATCTTTCTGCAGCAAGATCTAAAAAAATTATCCTAAGAAAAGACATCCACTTGATCAGCACAGATGCAACATGCACTTTGACTTTCACGTTGCATTTAGTGACTGGAGTTTTATTTTGTTGTACTTGCAAAGTGGTTACTAATTTTCTGTTTGTTTTTGTGTGTTATCACAGGCCAGTTCAGCTCCTTCAGTGTGTGCATAACCCTGACCACACAGACTGCAGGCTCTGCACCACCACCACCATGGCAGCTCCATGAAACAGGGTGCTCCGCACTACTGAAGACTTTTGTTATTTGTGTGTAAAGCTGGAAGAGATGTGGCTACATAGCTTAGAGTGATAAATAGTAGCGTGGGGTGTACAGAGTCCATAACCAGAAATCCTTGCTGTGATACTAACAGCCAAGTAGCAGGAGATGGTATTTTAGGTGTGATTAATGTACACACATGCACACAAACATACTATTTCAGAGGGGCTGGGGGCGTGTTCAGTGGTTGAGGGCAGATGTTTTGCCTTGGTTTGCTCCCTCCTGTACAGCTCCCCTTGTGCCCCAAGGCTCAGCACAGGGATTCCTGGGCATGCACAGAAAAGAAAGAGACTTTGCAGTAGAGGCAGAACTTGCCCGGATCAGCGCCCAACTTCCTCCCTGCTGGAAGCCTGGGTGGGTTGGACTCGATGATCTGAAAGGTCATTTCCAACCTAAATAATACTGTGATTCCGTGAAGTGTCCAGAGCACGCTACACTTGTGCTGCTTCCCAGTGCAACATCCCCCCAGAGGGAAATGTTGCCCTGGGGCATATGATATAAATTGTATTTGTCCCAGGGACTATGGCACCTCTGAACAGGTAAAGCAAGCGATGGAAGAGGCAGAGCTCGTATCGTTTCTTACCTTTTAATGGACATCACAGTAAGTGGCTGGTGGAGAAACAGCTGAGGTGAGCCGAGAAAAGATCAGAAACCACTCAGGGGGTTGCCAGCATCTGTAAGAACATGTTGAGCATGTAGCTGGAGAGAGAAAATAGCAAGACTGACTCAGACAGCCCCATTAAAATCCAACTGGAAACACCATTGCAGTTCAGATTACATTTTATTCTTAATATAGCAGTAAGTGTAAGCCTTCCAGCTTTCATAAAAGGTCCCTCAGGCCACAGCTTGGCCGTCCACTGGAATAGAGACAAACATCAAAAGGTTGCCACAATAAGGAGTCTCTCTTGACCTCAGTTTCTGACATGAGAGGTGATGTCTTGTGGTGTCCAATTTACAAGCACAGACATGTCGCAGTACACAGAAACAGGAGGTTTCATTGATTTCCTTTGATTTACATTTTGCCAGTCTCATATGCATAGTCAAGTGCAGTGTTTGTAACAAAACAAAGATCTGAGGCCAGCTTGTGGCTGTGGCTGCAGTGCCTTTGTGCAGTGCCTTTTTGCAGTGCCATTGACACTAAGAGAATAGAGCAGGCTTTGCTACAGGTGTATTCCTTGGTCTTGCAGTGCCAGCAGAACCAGCAATTGCCAATTCATTAGGCAGACTGAGGTTTCCGTGATCCCACAGGGAGAAGGTTACAATGCCAGATGTTTTAGTGACTACCCAGAGTGCAAAGAATCCTTATGGAACTACACAAGCTGGTGTAATTTTGAGCATCTCTAGATAAACCTTTTCTCTGTAATACACGGGCCTGCACTGAACTTAGCTGGACCACACTGAAGACCTCACCCATAATGTTTACATTAATTGAAATGTATTTTTATTTGCACTCTGTAATGTAACTACTTAGATGTGTCAACACAGATCCATACCAATACTTTCAAATAGGTTATTTCTGACTATAGGTGAAGAGTTTGTCTTCATGCTCACTTTTGTACCTCTTCTGTTGTAATACAAAATGTTGACAGTAAAATCAAGATCTATAATAAAATTGCTGATGGCACACATTGTTAATTCATTTTCACATTCTAATTAGCCTCAGATTGAACATGAATATAAGCTACTTCCTAAAAATAACTCAGAAATTAATTCCGTGATGAAACTACATATAAACACCCAGGAAAGCAGAGAAAGGTCACAGTGCGCATCGTCCCCAGACCGTACTCTCGCTACCTCACTCTTCGTCTTGTACAGGGAAGTAATTTCCTTTGTAGGTGGCTGGAAGTGAAACATCCTGTGTCTTTATCTTGAACACAGACATATATATATATGTTGTTCTCAGCCATATTAGTTGAGAAACATGACTGTTCTTATCAGTGGTTATGTAGTAAAATGCTAAGAAGAGAAATCTGTGGTTTTGAAAGCTGAGGTGTGCACTTAATACAGGCAACTGTGCTGGAGTAAGTGGCAGCTTTGTAGCACAGGTGGTTGGCATTAATATTGTCCCAACAAAAATTCTTTCTTTTAAAGGTATGTAAAATTATAAACCTCTACAGGGAAACTTGCCAATAAACACAATTAAAGTTAGGGAAATAATTGAACTTGCAATTGCCTGGTTTCGTAGAATCTTAGAATAGTTAGGGTTAGAAGGCACCTTAAAGATCATTCAGTCCCACCCCCCTTGCCATAAGCAGGAACCCCTTCCACTAGACCAGGTTGCTCAAAGCCTCATCCAGCCTGGCCTTGAACACTTCCAGGGAGGGGGCATCCACAGCTTCTCTGGGCAACCTGTGCCAGTGTCTGACCATCCTCACAGGAAAGAACTTCTTCCTAATATCTAATCTAAACCTACCCTCTTCCAGTTTAAAGCTGTGATAGTTTCACTGGGCTAGTCCTTGGCTAGCAGCCAACACAGTCGATCCACAGCCCCCGCACCCCCAGGGGATAGGGGAGAGGATTGGGGGGGCAAGGATAAGGAGGCTTCTTGGTTGAGATAAGAACAGTTTAATAATAGAGAGAAAAATTAAAATAATACTATTAAAAATATTAAAATAATAAGGAAGCTAGTCCTTGGCTAGCAGCCAACACAGTCGATCCACAGCCCCCGCACCCCCAGGGGATAGGGGAGAGGATTGGGGGGGCAAGGATAAGGAGGCTTCTTGGTTGAGATAAGAACAGTTTAATAATAGAGAGAAAAATTAAAATAATACTATTAAAAATATTAAAATAATAAGGAAAATAATAACAGTAACAAAATATGCAAGTGAATGACACCCAATGTTATAGCTCATCCCCCTCCTGACCGAGCCCGGCCTGTTCCCAGATAACGATCCCAGAGGAGCGACAATCCCGAACCGAAACTGCAATCCCGGAAGAACGAGAGCCCGAGGGAAAGCCAGAGAGAGAGAAAAGAGGAAGAGACCCTCACTAATATAGTGGACATGACGTGATATGATAAGGAATACCCCATTGGCATATCTAACTGTCAATTAAGTTTATTAATTTAAATATTCTTCTCCCCCCCCTTAAATCTTGTGCTTGTGGACTAACAGAAACACAAAATCCTTCACTTCCAGTGAAAAAAATGCAAACACTGGTATGTTATCTGTGTCTCTCACAGCCAGTCCCAGGCTGGAAGCAAAACGCAACACAATTCTAGCTACTGAGAAAGAAAAGAAAAGAAAAGAAAAGAAAAGAAAAGAAAAGAAAAGAAAAGAAAAGAAAAGAAAAGAAAAGAAAAGAAAAGAAAAGAAAAGAAAAGAAAAGAAAAGAAAAGAAAAGAAAAGAAAAGAAAAGAAAAGAAAAGAAAAGAAAAGAAAAGAAAAGAAAAGAAAAGAAAAGAAAAGAAAAGAAAAGAAAAGAAAAGAAAAGAAAAGAAAAGAAAAGAAAAGAAAAGAAAAGAAAAGAAAAGAAAAGAAAAGAAAAGAAAAGAAAAGAAAAGAAAAGAAAAGAAAAGAAATCCAGGTGGGGCCTTACGAGAAAGGAGTAGAGAGACAGAATCATCTCCCTCGACCTACTGGACACGCTTCTCTTGATGCAGCCCAGGATACAGTTGGCCTTCTGGGCTGCAAACACACATTGCCAGCTCATGTTGGGCTTCTCATCCACCACCACTCCCAAGTCCTCTTCAGAGCTGATCTCAATCCACTTATCACCCAGACTGTATTTGTGCTTGAGATTGCCCCGACCCAGGTGCAGGACCTTGCATTTGGCCTTGTTGAACTTCATGAGGTTTGCACAGGCCCACTTCTCAAGCCTATCAAGGTCCCTCTGGATGGCATCCCGTCCCTCCAGCGTGTCAACCGCAACACTCCGCTTGGTGTCATCAGCAAACTTTCTGAGGGTGTACTCAATCCCGCTGTCCATCTCACAGACAAAGATGTTGAACAGTATCAGCCCCGATATCAACCTTTGAGGGACACCACTCTTCACTGGTTTCCACATGGACATTGAGCTGTTGACCACAACTCTTTGAGTGCGACCATCCAGCCAGTTCTTTATCCACTTAGTGGTCCATCCATGAAACCCCCATGTCTCCAACTTAGAGACAAGGTTGTCATGTGGGACAGTGTCAAATACCTTGCACAAGTCCAGGTAGATGACATCAGTTGCTTTAGCCTCATCCACCAATGCTGTAACCCCATCATAAAAGGCCACAAAATAGGTCAGGCATAATTTGCCCTTGGTGAAGCCATGCTGGTTGTCACCAATCACCTTCTTGTTTTCCATGTGCCTTAGCATAGTTTCTAGGAGTATCTGCTACATGATCTTGCCAGGCACTGAGGTGAGACTGACCAGCCTGTAGTTCCCTGTGTCTTCCTTGCACATCCACGCCCTGGATGTGCCTCAGCCCCTATCCCCAGTACCACTCCCAAGGCCCACAGAGCTTGGTGCCATCTACTGTTTCCTGCTGCTTGCCCTTAAGGAGGGAGCATTAACGTTGGCCCACTTTGTTTGTTGGTGCAGATGCACTATGGGGGTACATCTGTCCCACTAACACACACTGAAGTCTGTGCTGCTCTGATCACACACATAGCAGAACATGAGTGAGCTCATTTCCAACAAGCGTTTTTATTATCCATGATCACACGTTTGAAATGCCACGCAGACATGTTCTACCAAAAAAGTATTCCAAATCCTATTGCTCTGCTGAAAATTTATAAACCAAAAAACCTCCCAAACCAATATGAAGTGTCCCAAATTCACAGAAAACTAAATAAAAGGAAAAATAATCTATATTTTTTTTTCCACTACCTGAAAGAAATGTTTCTTAATATGGCTTGAAACATGTTGGGTTTTGAAAATATGTTTTCAATCTGATGAAGCTAACCTCTGTCATAACTTGTTCAGGATAAATAGGACAGCTTGTGCTCCGGGCCCATAGCAAACACTGCCAAAGAGCGCTGCCCAGAAACCCGACAGGAATCTGAGCTATTGTGTGATAAGGTGATATCAACGTTATGCACTCCCAGAACCACTCAGTGCTGG